AATTTGATCAAGGTACTCAAAACAGCTTCAGCTCATCCAAAGCAGTCCATATAAACCTAAAGCCACTCAAAGGTTACCAGAGTTCCGTCCGCGCCGCTATCACCCAATTTACCAGCTAGCTATTAGCTTACAAACAAGCTGTTTCGGTGAAAAAAAACTACATGACCGGTTCCAGATTTGAAACTGCTTCAGGGATTTGATGAATGATTCGAAGGAAAGCTAAGCAGAATGAACCGAAAAACATCCTTCGGAAGCCTCTAGATTCGTCTTTTTCGCCTACCATAATCAATAAACAGAGCTTGCCATCAATAAAAAAACAATAAACAAATGGAAATTAATTCCAGCACCTACAGTTGCGGGGCTGACTTCAACTATAGCAAAAGATCAGAAAAGGAAACTCGGCTCTCTCTCATCACCTCATCAAGCCTCATAAAGGACGGAACTGAGAAAAAAGTACGATAAAATATAATGATTATTAGTAAGCATGAAAAAAAAACAAAAAAAGCAAAAAATCATCACAAAAAGACTGGCAAGTTTGCGTAAAGAGAAATGAAATTGAATGACGTGAAAAAATAGAAGTCCTCAACAATACCATCATACCGCTCGAATTTAAAAAAAGCATCGAGATTATGAAAAAGAAAGAAAAAGGAAAAAGAGTGAGATCATCGCTTCAATCAAATTCGTGTAAAATATTATAGAAGAGCTACTCGATCCTCCAGTCAAATGAAAGTTTTCCTTTTTTGTACAAAGTGTGAGAAATTCGAATCTAAAAGGCTCTAGAAGTGCTCGAGTACTTCTAAAAATAGCTAATTGAATATTAAAGACCCTCATCATGTGGATGCTTCCAGGCGGGGCGAGAATGATGATGAAGCCGGTGGCGACGCGCGGATTAGCCGCCACTCAGCTCCGGCAGCCGGTCGATGTAAGCCCCATCGCCATCATCCCTGGAGAAGCCTTGTGTAGCCTAAGCAACCCCACTTTGGGCTCCTTCGGATGCTGTCGCATCCCTCTCTCATGGCTTTATTCAGACCGCTATTCTACAAAATATTCTGACCTTTTCGACCGATGTCTCTGGCCTCGTCGAGTTCATGTGATGGAATGCCTTCGAAAATCCACGTCGAGTCGGTCGGCTTCAGAAGGCCGCAAATGACGAGGACGACGATGTCGGGTGTTACGCGCATCGCTCGACTGCCGACACTTGTCACCCCGCCCCCCGAAGGTAACCTGCAGTTGATAGCCGCGACCACGCCCATCTCGACGGCATCACCTTCGGACGGAGACGAGTGCAGTGGTCGTGGCATGGTGCCAATTGACCGACGAACGGGAATTCTGACAGCTAGGAGGAAAGACGCTCGAAAGGTGAGGAATCACTAGCCTTTCATTAGGTATCTATCAAAATATGATTGCAGGGCCAACTGATTGTCAGTAATGAACGAAAGAAGGCTGCACAAGTACGACCTGAATTCCCTTCCCCAGGTATACTTTTGCCCTCCTATTCTCATTTAATCAGTGTTTTTTTTCTAACCGCTTTTTCATCAAAGGTGTTTTTAGGTGGCAACTAATGGATGCATCCGATCAAAAGTCAATGCTATGCAGCCTCGAGCTCGAACAACAATGACTGAAGTGGCCGATTGTCCAGAACCACCGGTTATGTGCCGTACACTGCCCCCTCTACGGAATTGTAGCCGAAGGAGGAAAAAACCTCCACGGCTTCAGCCCATTTCACCAGGGCAGATCAATGATAAAACAGGTCAGCTTATTCACAAGTCGCTATCTTTCTTACCCTTCTCACTTTCATTCAATCTATTTTTTTCCTTTTCATGTATCTCTCTGTTTAGCAAGTTTATAGGAGCGATTAACGAGATTCAAGCATATTTCAAAATAATCTGGTGATTCAAGCTGAAGCCAGTTCTACTTAGAATTTCAAGAGTCAAAATTTTATTCCTGTCAAAAGCTGCAAGGTAATTAATTTGAACACCTCCACACCAGTGGCAGCCCATTTGGGCTGCCAACTAATAATCGCTTACAAATCGCTTGTCGTAATTTTTGCACAGTTTCGATAACGGAATAATTAATGTCTCATTGATTACTAAATTACTTGGTGCCATAGATGTCTTGGCTTATTTACTATGCAAAATTCACTGATGTGAGGTGAGGAGGAGGTAAAGTGGTGCTCGTACTACCAAAAGCGAAAGAGCGCCGTTATTAATGTGCTAAAGTAATTAATTTGTGTGGGTAGAGCGCACTGGCTAAGAGCGACGTCTCAATTAATACTGGCACCAAATCGATCCACTTAGTATCACCTATGATAACCATTCGATTCATCCATCCCAAATGGGCTTATTACTGATTACGCATTTCCTGGGCCGATAAGTAGCCCGGACACGAAAGGCGCCTATTTTGCGGCCGTCCATTCGAGTATGGAAAACATTGTGGTTGCCAAAAAATTAGTGTCCCCCCCCCAAGAGCAGGTGATCGAGTCGTCTTCCGACCGACCAAATTCTCATCTCCCGGATCCATTCGAATCGATTCCAGAGGTAGGCGGAGCGACCGTATGGGATCCAATAAGGTGAAAACCGACACGATTGCTCCGCCCATTAGAGCAATTTCTTCGCTTTTTTTCGAAGTTCAACATCATAATCGCGCTGTCCGAAAACTCCAAGAAAATTCGTAAAACCGTTGTCATTTGGTTTTCGGGTATAGGAACAACCCATTGCATAACGACAAGCCCAATTGAAGCCCCTTCCCTGTTCTCTCCTACCCCATCTCCCCGCCCTTCCCCAATAGAATCGCTTTACTTTGCATGATTTGTGGAGAAACAGGTTTTCATATGGTCTACTAAAAGCATTAGAAGGTACCCTACCTTTGAGACCTTTCAGTAAGTCATTACTAGGTTTTCTCATAAGAACATGGAGCCGTTTCATTCGAACAGGAAGTTTTCTGCTGAAGTCTCAGGTTTTTTACATCAATTTTGTAGCACTCGAGAAAGAATTGTCTGGTTTATGAGGAGCTCTCATTCGCTTCCACACCTTCTGAGTTTTTTTTTTAATTTGTTCCTGTGAAATGGGAGGTCCAGCCGACAAAATTGACCAAACCGACAACTAGCTCTAACTTTATTTTCCCTTGGAGAAATCAATCAATGATGTACCCTCTACTTACTCATGACCTCTTCTAAACATTCCACTATTAGGTTGCCGAAAAGCTTTGCCGTGTTTCTTTTCGAATTCGGTTACTTCTTGTAGACAGACAAGTGGTAGCGATTTTTGAAATTAAAATTCTTCCTAAAAAGCACCTCTGTTTTTTATCAAATCATTTAGAAGTTTAGCTTCTACCCTATTTGCTGATTTGCTTTATTTTTGTATTCATTGCGAATTAGGTTGCATTTTAGGCCGGCGTGATAAGGTGTTCTGCCTACGAAAGTGACCACATTACTTTGAAAAAATTTTCCCGAGAAGATGAGAAAATCAACCAGGCGTACATTCCTAACTTAGTCATGACTTGTTCTTAAAATTCCACTAGTTTTTCAATGTCTCGGCTGCGAAAAAATTTGGACAGATTTCAAGGGATGGTGCTTGAGTTCTCGTGAAAAGCCGAATCTGGAAAAGGAGCGACGCGACTTGATTTGAAACCTAATTGTGGAATGTTTAGAAGAGGTCATGACTAAGTAGAGGGTACATCATTGATTGATTTCTCCCAGGGAAAATAAAGTTAGAGCTAGTTGTCGGTTTGGTCAATTTTTGTCGGCTGAACCTCCCATTTCGCAGGCCTAAAATTTAAAACCCTGCAACGAATATGGAAACTATAACACTACCTTCTCTTAAGCAGACAATTCTCTTCAAAATGGCATATAATTCA